CGAGAAAAAGTGATAAAGGACCTAACAGACTATGGGGGCACCAATTCAAGTTCATTATTAAAAGTCAAGCCGTATGGTTTGGCGATAACAGAGTCCCATTTAACTCGATTCATACTGACACGCATGTAACTATCTCTACGACTCACACTCTGAAAGCGTTGCCACTTCCATCTGAAAATTCAAGGTCACTTAAACATCGTGTTTCGACCCGCAACCTTTGGAGAAAACGATGATGAGTGGAAAAATCATAAAACAGATAGGAAGAGCCCTAAACCAATAAAGAAGGACTTATGACGAACGGTCGTTAATTTATCAAACAAAATACATTATGTGGTGTACCGCACTGCCAGAAGTGAGCCGCTGATGCAATTTTTGCATCCCGTTTGAGTGGGTAAATGACCACGCAGCGAAACAAGTAGTACGTTCATTGACAATGGGTGCCCATGTAGTCGGTGAGCAAGCAGGGGTGTAAACAGATAGAGAACAGACCAAGCATAGTAGCAAAAGCTTAAACACTCCCTGACTTCTTTTGACCGTTCACTTTAGCCCCTGGAGGGATCACCATGTCAAATAAATACAGACAGGGGAAGTTTGCCAGCCGAAAAATTCAGCTAGATCGACGTAGGGGCCGGTTACTTAAGGCTCCTTATATACAGTGAGAGAAGTCTTCATTGGATAGCTGTCGACCACCCAAGCTGGGAAGCTCATGAACAGTAATTTGCTATACGTTCCATGCGTTGCCTGTCGTATCCGGTACATAAACCTGAGGACCGGTGTCAAGCGATGCAACGACAACTAAGGCACCAGGGAACAAAACACTGCATCAAAACCCGAAGACATTATGTGACGGCCATAAAAGATTCCCCATGGATGTTTCGTTTACATTTCAGTGTTGAACCTACTGTAGTAAGGTGCTACTTACATTTGTGAGTAGTATGACAGAAGTGCGCAAAACGACGCGAATGACGGTTTCTCCCAACAGTCAAAAACGAAGAAGACCTCTGAGAGTGAATTACTGCGTTCAAACTTGTAGCTGCAGAAAATGCGCGGGCGGTTACATCAATTATCTTGCTTGTGGGAATTACGAGGACTTGTGCCAAATAAGACGCTTTGTTGTATGTGCGCCAATTTATTGATACCCTTGCGGTTATTCTTAATGAACAAATTTCCCCGTCCCGGCACTGTCTTATGAATAGGTAACACTATGACCCAGTGTTTTTTGGATGAGAATTGAGTTGAAGGATCTGATCAGGGTAACCAAAGAAAACCCCATGGTTGGTATAGACTAACGCGAAGTATGCCACACCAGACATCTACGTGAATAACCCTTTTTGCCACCTGTATATTTTTTCCTCCAATCTACTTTTCATTCAGCCGCGGTCAACATCTGTCCAGCTTGACCCATAAGCTGCCTTAGCTAGATGCTTTGATGCTTTCAACTTAAATGAACGATGTCTTCGAAACAGATACGAGAGCCTGCTTCAATTAGGACATTGGGTTCGTCAGACCCAACTTCATCCCTGCGCTCCACTCTCCGTGTGTCAGGTGATTTGGCCGCTGACGCTCACAATGTTGTCTGCGTCGATAATGCACTAAGTGACCGGCCTAAGCACTCGCTTGACTTAATTCCAGTCACTAGCGGATTGTGCGTCGAACGTCTCGATGGTTCAGTGTGGGCAACTGCAACAGAGTGAAACGTCACTGATTCTTTGTCATAATCGTATACGACCCGACTGATCGCAGTGTGCGTACAAGGAAACATCCAAGAGTGTGGGGTAGTAAAATGTAAAGAGATGGCGAGGGCTACGGTGATTAGTAACAGTTATGCTCTTTTCCAGCAGATAAGAAGTACGGGACCCCGAGAATTAGGTTAGTAAGGAGTCTGACGACACTAATTCGCAATCAGCAACTCCGTCTTAAGCGATGGACAAACATTTTAAGGCATCATTCAACTGATCTCCATTGACATTAGATCTGCTAGCTCCAGTTCTGTCGGAATTTAAGCTCGTGATACCCCATCTTGAGAAGAAACTCCACGTGACATCCCCGGGATGTATCCAAAAGGTTTCTACCGGTCGTATTGGTTTATTGGAGTGATACTAAGGAGCCTGTAGTTTTCATTGGTTAGTTGTCGTGAGCTTTAACTGCGTTTAACCCTTACTTATTAGCTTTTCAGACACGATTGGATCGGTAATAAAAGAAGCAATTCCGCATTTCTCACCGAGTTACGAAAGAATATGAGCAGTTACAAGATAATAAACCGGAGTCTGGAAGTCGAGGTCGGCGGTATATATTGTAGGAATCAATGTTCCGCAATCGCTACGTTATATTATTTAGGCACATGCAATCTAATATGCTTATATAAGCACAATAAAGCAATTAAAAATAATGATAATCATCAAAGCAATGCTGCAATAACTCAACATGAAACCACTAACAAATTGTTTCCGATGGTGCTAAATGCACATCAATCCAATAGCAATGACGTTACAATGCATTTCACTATCTAATAAAAATACCAATTTGAAAAAAAATCGTAAGGCGGGTTGTATGGTTAAATAAATAAATGTTTTTACCTCTCTTGTATTTATTGATTATGGAAATGTACAGTAAACTATCAGGTTGCATTAGCGGACTTCACTGCACATCAACTAGCCCAATAGGCCAAAAAACAAGTCTATGTAGTTTGACAGTACATCCGCTCCGCACAAATACAACGGGACCGATTTTTCACAATTTCTATTCATTGCCATGGTAATGACAGTGTGATTGACAGTTCTTTTTGCGCGTGTGCACACATACAGGTCGGGTCTGTTAACTTCTCGGTGCAACAGATTTCGCGAACCTAAGAATCCGGGGTTCTGTGGTAAAATGCACGACCCAAAATCAATTTGTCATCAAGAGATCTGGAGCGATTGATGACGCAGGTTGTTTACGTGTTCAGTGTTCCTGGGTAAGGGTGGTGGTTGATAATACTGTGTTTTTGTATTAGTGTTGGGAGATGCGTGTATGGGTGGGATTAGGTGGTCAAATTGGAGAATGAATTTTGATCACGTGACTTGGTCACCGCCTGTCTGTTCTGCCAATGTAGAATGCACCGCATCCACATTCGAACGAGTACATCACGTGTGATTTGGCCGAAAGAGGCTAGGGTTATTTTGCGTGTGCAGCTGGAATGTGTGTTGTCGTGTACAGACAGTATGATTGGATTGGTAGCACTACTGGTGCTTTTATCAACACTAATATTGATCGATCAGAAATTACTCATCAATATCACATAGACGTGCGTATCACATGAGTGAAAAATAAGTTTTCACGGATGGCTTGTAAAATGTGGAGCAGACGACCACACGGATATTCTCCTGCCAGATAGTTGGTCACATCTGATAAGAAATATGTGCAGCCAAGTGATGACGGATCGGTGAGTGAGTGAGTACATGATACAAAAAAGCAAAATCTGCGCGAAGTATGTATGCCCATGTACCCATATATGTATGGTATAACACAATAACAAGCAGCCAGTTTGAATGCGTACTTGTACTTGAGTGAGCGAGCAATCGCGCGCATACATGTCAGGTCACAAAAACATTGCATGTTTGTGACTGTACTTACCGGAGCTAGTTTTGGTCGAAGCACAGCGCACCGATAGAGATCGATCACATCTGGAAGCCGATCAATGACTAAGTAGGTAGACAAGGCTTGACGAAGTTTTGCCCCACACTGTTTAGACACGTTCGGTCGTTCTGTACTGTTTGCTGTCAGCTGGCACGTTTCAAAAGCGGTCTTTAGTCGATCCTCCAACTGCTCATGCAGCACAGATGTAATCCACTGGATTCGCTGCCAATAGATATAAGGTGTGTGCAATACCAAATTGGAACGACGAACGCTTGCAATTGATTTATTTTTACAAGACATACAAGGAAGAAAAATATCACCCGTGTTCATGGAATGCGAGTAGAAGAATCAGAAACGGCGTAGGACATGATAACAGGAAATATTTACATGATGCATGACGAAAAATGAAAATAAACTGAGATAAGCCAACTACGAACGTTTCATATAGTAAAATGTTATGACAACTGTACACTACGAAGCCGCAGTGAAACTGTAAATGTAAATGTTTGTTACTAGTTTGATTAAAAGTAGAGATAATTCTTGGAAGGGGCTGCAGCGGATCAAAAGTTACCAGCTCTTGCGCTGGCAGACAATTTCAATATGCAGCTTGCTGAACGCATCCGAAGCCTATCTGCAGGGCTATTTGGCTCTACTAGCCCAACGAACAAATAGCGGTGATCGACGTTTTTTCGTTCCAGCACGACTGTCAGCGAACGGTAATGTGGTGCTTCAATTCGATGGGCAAGTTGACCCGAACTAACCGCATTGCAGTAAGCTACCGGTGGTGTGGCTCAGGACGAAATTTTAGGTCTTATTGAACCACCTGCTTTGGGCCTGATCACAAGCTATTGTTGATGCACTTTGCGCCTCGACTAACTGATCGCTGTCAGAAGCAAAAACCTCAGTTGACCTAT